AATTTTTTAAAAATCTGAAAATGGCTGGGTATGGTGGTGCATGCCATTTATCGTAGTACTTAGGAGGCAGAGGCAGGTGGATCTCTGTGAGTTCCAGGCCAGCCTGGTCTACATAGTGAGTTCCAGGCTACCTGGGGCTACCAGGAGATCCTGTCTCAAAAAGACCAAAAAAATTTTAAAATCTGAAAATGGATATCCCTCTTCTTCCCATCCATCCTCATCCACTGTGAAATTACAAACATGTTTGTATGGCATTCAATACCTGAGTTTCTGGCTTGTATTTATCCACCCATGGTTCATTGTCAGATAGAAATTCTTTTGAATTTTCTAGACCATGAGTCTGTTCTAAGGAAGATAGCTTTCCTCTTTTTCTAACTGGAAATCTACTACTTTCTAATGTAGAAGACACATTTTTTCTTCTGTGACTTGAATTATTCAAACCTAAAGATGAAGCAGTAATAGAAGAGATGGCTGTAGTCGCTGAAAAATCATCAAATGATGGATCCACCCAGTCTGTTACCTACAAAGAAAAGAAACTGTTAAGTCTATGACATACTTTACATCTATTCCAATGCAACTAAATTACTTTAAATAATCTATTTATCCATCTATGTGTTTTTTTCAAACAGGGTTGTGCTATGTAGCTCTAGCTGGCCTGAGACTCATTACGTAGCCCAGGCTAACCTCAAACTGGAAATATTCCTGCCTCAGCCTTCCAAGTGCTAGAATTAATTACAGGCATGCTGCCACCACAATCAGCACCTTTTTAATTTTTGCTTTCTTTTTTTGAAACACAATTTTGCTGTGTAACCTTTGCTAATCTTGAACTTGAGATTCTTCTGCTTCTACCTCTCAAGTGCTGGCAACAAATTAGGTCTTCAAATAAAACTTTCTGTGTAATTTTCTAGTTTACATTAAATGCATAATTAGCATACCTGCCTACTTAATTATGATAATGATGAATGCCATAAAAATAAGAATCTAAACTTAATTCTTTGTATTAGTCATAATCTTTCTGGAGTAAAGAATATAACTTTTTGTTGGAGACAGGGTCTCACATAGCCCAGGTTAGCCTTGAACTCATGTAGCTGACAATGACCTGGAACTCCTGATCATCCTGCTTCTACCTCTCAAGTGCTAAGACTATAGGCATGGACCATCGCACCTAGCTATAGATAGAATTAAAAAAAATTTTTTTTTGAGACAGAATCTCATTATATAGCCCTAAAATTTTATTACATTTATTTTTCAATTTTATGTGTGTGTGTGTGTGTGTGTGTGTGTGCGCGCGCACGCGCACACATGCACATACCACAGCAGGAATCAATCTCAGGTCATTGGGCTTGGCAGCAAGTACTTTTACCCACTGAGCCATCTCACTGGCCCTAAATTTTTTTTATTACTTCTATTTATCTATCATTCTCTCCATCCATCCACCCATCCACCCATCCACCCATCCACCCACTCATTCATATAACACAAGGCACATGTGGAGGTCAGAAAACTTGGGGGAAATTGGTTCTTTCATTCTACCATGTGGGTTCTGGGGATCAAACCTACCTCCTGGCTTCATAGCAAGGGCCTTTAATCTATTGAGCTATCTCATCCACACAGGATTTTTTTTTTTTAACTCTTGATACAATTAAAGCATAAATACTAAAATTGCCTACAAAGGCACAGTAAGAACTGGGGATGTAGTCCAGTAGTAGAGCACTTGTTTATTGTGCCCAAGGGCCTGAGTTCAATCCCCCAGCATTGAAAAAAGAAAGATACTATTTTAACCAGATATAGTAGTAAGAATAGTAATATTTCAACCTGCCAGTTTAAAACATTTACAAAGCAGGCTGGGGAGATGATTCAGCTGGTAAGGCACTTGCCATGCAAGCATGAGGCCCTGAGTTTGATCCTCTATTACCAAGTTAAAAAAAACCAAACAAACAAAAAAACCTGAGTGGTAGCACAAGCCTGAAATCCTAATGCTGGGTAAGCAAAGACAGGAAGATCTTTGGGTTTGTTGGCCAGCCAGTCTAGCCAATTAGTGAACTCCAGGTTCAGTGAGAAACATGGTCTCAAAAGTAAGGAGGAAAAGCAATTGAAGAAGATACCCAATGTCAATTTCTGGCCTCCACACACCTGCATGAATACCTGTACATACATGAACTCAAAAAGACACATACATATACAAATACAAACAGACACATACAAAATCCCAAATTAAGACCCATTTCATACAATCAAATAATTCATACTAACTTTAAGGCTTTGTAGAGATAATGGTGAATAATCTTAATACTATAACTTGTAATTATGACTGCACTATATTTCTTTTCAGTGCATAAAGCAACCAGCATTTTGGTCAGGCCTGGTGGCACAGGCCTTTAATCCCAGCACTCAGGAGGCAGAGGCAGGCAGATCTCTGTGAGATTGAGGGCCAGCCTTGTCTACATAGTTCTAGGCCAGCTAGGGCTGCAGGGAGACCCTGGAACTAGAGTCACAAAGGGCAGTTAGCCACCATGTGGGTGCTTGGAAAGGAACACAGGTCCTCTGCAACAGCAGCCAGCGCTCTTAACCATTAAGACATCTCTCCAGCCCCATGATGCCCTTTCTCAAAAAACAAAAACAAAATTTTAAAAATAGATTTTTTTTGGAGGTAGGGGCGTTTGTTGAGAAAGGATCTCCCTGTATCCCAACTGGCCTGGAACTTGCTATGTAGACCAAGCTGGCCTCAGTCTCAAGAGGTCCCCCTGCCTCTGCCTCCCAAGTTCAGGGATTAAGGGCATGTACCACAATGCCCAGCAAGGTGGGTTTTCTTACTCTATTATGCTTGTCACTGTGTTTTTGTAATTTCCTGCCTAAAGAGGAAGAACCAAGATTTTATCTTTCTTTAGAGATACTCAACTTGGGCCAAGAACAAAGCTCAGTGGCAGAACACTTACCTGGCATGCACTCAGCCCTGGGTTCAATCCTGACCCTTGGGAGGGAGAGGGATATGTATAAAGTGAGGGAGAGAGACTCAATTACAGTTGTGAGCTCTTTCTTAAGATAATGCTCCTTTCTGAGATAAAGAGTTGAAGGTGGAGGTGAAAATAGGCTTAGGGGAGGAAATCTGGGCTGCCGAGTATTTTATCAATGCTAATATACAGTTTACTTTATTAAGACAGAGGGCTAGGAATACTATCAGCAATAGACAAAGATCAGAGAAACAGTCGATCACACCCAGCTGACTTATTTTCTCCTTACAAAAGGATTGACAATGTTACTGCAATTTTTGTTTTTCCTCTATATTTAAAAGCACATTTTATGCTAAACTTTCTAGTAACAATTCTAATTTATATATTACTTATACATTCTGTAATTTCTTACATAAATGTGGATTCCCATCTACTATGAGAAAGAAAAACAGCAAAGTTATAAAATTTACTTCAGATCAGAAAAAATTTAGAACCACCACTAGTGAAACAGCCCTCCTGCATAAGTAGGATACTGCTGGACTCCCATCACACCCCAATCCCCATTGCTGAGAAATGACACACTGAACTGCATGACTTCTAAGAGGCAGGGCCTGTGGTTAAGCTAGAGCATTAAGTACCACTCATATCTCTCTTCAAGAGTGTTCACCCTTTGCAACTGGGATTAAAAATGTTTTTCTCAGATTTAAGGGTATGGGGCTGGGCCTGGTGATGTATGCCTTTAATCTTAGCACTTGTGAGGCAGAGGCAGGCAGATCTCTGTGAGATCAAGGTGACCTGGTCTACATAAAGGTTCCAAGATAGCTAGGGCAACAGGGAGACCCTGTCTCAAAAAAACCAAACCAAACCAAAACAAAACAAAACAAACCACCAAAAAGTCAAACTAAAACAAAACAGAATTAAGGGTATGGTTATTTTGCAACTTATTACCAGAGTTTAGAACACTAATTACTACAGACACTGAGCATTATTACTTTGACAGGGATAAGTCACTGAGAACATACATAAAGTTTTGTAATTCTCCTTAGGCAATTATTACATGGCCATTTTACGTATCATACCTTTGTGGAAGATACCTTTGGTCTAAGAAAAGGTTTTGACATTATAAACTTTAATAGTTTCCATCCATAGTATACAACCTGGAATACATTAAAGTATAATTCACCTGAGGAAAAAAGAGGACAAACACCCCAAATTGAGAAAAACTGTACAGAATTATAGTAATCAGTATATAATCATATAAAACATAACGGCTCAAGAACTAATGAAAGAGAACACAGTAAACAAATTAAAATCCTAAAATAAATTTTACTTTAAATAATTACAATCTTATCAAATAATCCATCTGTAGTGGTATAAACAGAAAAGTTTTCAAATAAACTCAATGATGTATGCACTTACCTTTTGTCACAAAGTAAAAACTAGACGATCCTATATAAGCTATTTTTATGCTGAGAATTAATGCTTTCCTTGCTTCAAATCACATTGCAAAGTACAGTTCATTCCCAATTTCGAAAAGGAAATATATAGATACACCGGAGTATTTTAGAGTGGTAAGTACACATAAACCCATTGAGCTTTTAAAAAAGCTCCCACCCAAGAAAATAAACGCTCATCCCCAAATAGTTTTAGATTCTGAATTTCAAAAAGGCACAAAAACATGTACTTGAGCAATTACACTTGTCGAAATGAAAGATGCTGAATGATGTTATGGTCAGGACCATACTCTGAAAACAAGACTGACAACTACCTCCTTAAATAAGCAAGTAACTGTCTCTGACAACGCCAGGTTCCTGAAATACGTTGGGGGTAGAAGGGACCTTCAAAACTATTCCTACTCGACCCACCACCACTCCACCCACTGCACAGGGGCCACTAGGCTCAGACATTAGTCCTCGATGATCCTGCCATCAGCAGGGCTGACACCTCACATCCCGGATCCAGGCCGTGGCTCGGCCCCCACACCCACCTCAACTCCATATGGGATGGGCGGGTCGGGAGGAGGAGCTAGAGAGCCCAGGAAGGCGTGAAGGCAAAACTGGCCTCACACCTTTAGGACGTTAATACAGCCGCGGCCGGCCTTACTTTCTGGGAGCTGCATGCCCTCGTGGGCGGAGAGGAGCGGAGGAGCCCAGCTCTACCCCGGGTGGCAGGGCAGCTTCCCAGCCCTCATCCAACTCAGCGCCCAGACTCTCGGAGGGCCCGCCTCCTGGGGACCTTCCTGACTGGCGCCGCTTCCGCGACGCGGCCCGAAGGGAGGGGCCGGCAGTGTTGTGCGTCCAGCGCGCTGCCTGACACAACGCGCGGATCGGCGGGTCCGGCAGCCGAACGGCTGACTTGGCCGTCCAGCGCGCTGCCTGACTCAAAGCGCGGATCAGAACTGTGGCCCGCGTTCCACCATTCGATGAACGCGTAAGGCCAGGGAATCTCTGGCGTGCGGGGGGGGGGGGGGGGGGGGGTGGGGGGGGGGGGGGGGGGGGGGGGGGGCGTAGGTGGGTCGGGAGCACAGCGCAGGGCCTCGTGGACCTTGGGGCCACTGGCGCGCACGGCCGCCCGCCCCTTCCGGCTCCGCCCTGGAGCGCGTAGGGCGCGTGAGCTGAGACGCCGGGAGCCGTGCGAAGAAGGACTATGAAGCTTCCGAACATCCTGCTTACCGGTTAGGGCGCGTGGCGGGGCCGGACTGGACGGCGGGGCAGGCTTGGGATGCCGAGTGTTGAGGACTCGGGCGGCCGCTTGGGATTCTACCCGGGGCTGCTGGAGGCGGCGCGTCGCGGTCGCGTCAGGGTTCGGCGATCGTGACCGTTGCCGGGGGCGGGGGAGGGGAGGGCGCAGGCGTTACTCCGGGCGACGGGCGGGTGAGGAGCTGAGCTGTGCGGCCGGGGCTCCGCGCGCCGCTACCACTCAGACCTCCAGATGTGGTATTTTGCCTGGAGAACTGGCTGCTGAGCCCATCATGGGGTTGGGCTTGCGGTTTTTAATCGAGTTGCTCTGAGGCGGTATTTAGCCCTTAGGAGGTGTGCTAATGGTGGATGCCGCCGTCCTCCAGGCCTTTCTCTCCTCGCTCCCGTCTCTCCTCCTCCTCTCTTCTCCCCCCTCTGCTCCCTCTCCCCTCTGCTCCCTATCTCCTCTGCCCTCTCTCACTCCTCTCCCTTCTCCTCTCATCTGCCCCCTCCTCCCTCTCCTTTCTGCTCCCTACCCCCCCCTCCTTTTTTCTTCTTTCTCTAGCTGTTTTTGGTGTAGTTATGTTGTGTTGGTGTAGTGATATGAAGATCCCGAGCTTATAAGTGTTGTGGGACTGCTCTGTCTGGAGCCTTTCTCAGTTTGCATGACATTATAAAGGGAACTAAAATGCCACGTAACGACTTTAATCAGTATTATTGCTGATCGTTTAATTAAAAGTATTAAACTTCCGGCCGGGCGTGGTGGCGCACGCCTTTAATCCCAGCACTCGGGAGGCTGAGGCAGGCGGATCTCTGAGTTCGAGGCCAACCTGGTCTACATAACGAGTTCCAGGACAGCTGGGGCTACAGGGAGACCCTGTCTCAAAAAGACCAAAAAAAAAAGCATTAAACTTCCAGCAATGAGTAGCATCATAGAGCATTCCTGCAAAAGTGGAATGCATAGGGTTGCAATTCCAGTATACAGACAAATGAAGAAGCTCTCTGGAAAAGTTTTGTCAGTTAACAAAACTTAAGGTTGTCAGGAGTTCTGTCTCAGTGCTGCAGGTTAACCACTCAACAAGTGACTGTCTACTTGTTAAGATTCCTTTGGAAGGGGCCTGGAGAGATGGCTCAGCAGTTAAGAACACTGGCTGTTCCTACAGAAGATCAGGGTTCAAATCCTGGCACCCACATGGTAGCTAACAGCTGTCCTGTAACCCCAGTCCCAGGGGATCAGACAGCCTCTTCTGCCCTCCACGGGCATTGCACGACCCGGGTGCACTTACCTACATGCAGGCAATACACGCATACACATAAAAATAATAAAATATTTTTTAAAAAAAAGATTCCTTAGGAAGATTTTTACAACATTTGCATGGGTCATAGTATCGCTGGGGTTTGGTTTGCCTCCTCCCCACCTTTCTAAAACAGAATTTCATGTAGTCCAGGCTGGCCTGAAGCTCATAATATACCTGAGGGTGGCCTGAAACTCCTGATCCTATTGCCTCCCATCCTCCAAGTGCTGCGATGAAAGGTGTGCTTTAGCAGGTCAGAGTAAGACCCTGTCTCTATCTCCCCCAGATCCCCAAAAGAGAATTGGGATTCTAGTTCAGTTGGTAGAGGGCTTGCCTGGCATTCATGAAGCCTTAAGACTGGATCCCCAGTACTCAGGAGGAACAAGAGTTAATGCCCAGCAGGCAGGTCTCTGAGTTCAAGACCAGCGTGGTCTACATAGTGAGTTCTTGGCCAGCTGGAGCTACTCGGAGACCCTGTCTCCAAAAACAAAACACCATATTGCAAGAAATCTGTAGAGTTATATAGAGTGAGCGTGTTGAATCTGGAGACTTGATTTATCAGGGTTATCTTTATAATGTTCAAATTTATTTTCAGGGACTTAATTAAGTCTGACCACCAAGAATTATGCATTTTCTTATCTTATAATAATTATCTTATAGTTATAAAAGGAGAAGAGTAAAGGCTACCTGTGCTGTATGTGTGGATATATATACAGTGTACACACGTGCACACAAATACACTAACTCCTTATGTCCATGTATATACATACCCAAACATATTACTACTTTGAAAAGACAAGTAAGAAATTGGTTTACAGTGGTTCCCTCTGGAGAAGGGTATGGGAGTTAGGGATAAGTAGTAATGAGATATTTCATGCTGCTTAAAATTTTTCCATGACTGTTTCTTTTTATTAATGTGTATGCACATTAATGTGTGTGCAGACCTGTGGAAACCAGATGAGGGTGTCAGATCCCCTGGAACTGGAATTAATGGACAGTTGTTATCTGCTAAGTGGGTGCTGGGAACTGAACCCAGGTCCTCTGGAAGAGCAGCAAACCACTGAGTGATCTCTCCAGCCCCCCCACCCCCCCACACTGATTTTTTTCTTAATGATGGTATTTGATTTGAGGTAACTAATTTTATGCTTGCCAGGTCTGTGTTGGTAGCAGGCAGAATTGGCATTGAAATTCTAGCATCCATTCCTTTCTTGGGAAATTTTATTATATCATGGTATATATTCACACATGGTTGCTAATTAGGAAAATTTTTATGTCAGTTGTGAAAACACTTAGGGGAAAAAGGTGACTGAAATCTAATAAGCAGTATTTCATGAATAATATTTTCTGTGGCTTCTCTTACAGGTACACCAGGGGTTGGAAAAACTACATTAGGCAAAGAACTGGCATCAAGATCAGGACTGAAATACGTTAATGTGGGTGATTTAGCTCGTGAAGGTAAGAGACCCTTTGATGTCAGATTTTAAGTCAGATAGTGGAATATTAGTACTATTAAATGTTGTTAGAGGGTACAGAAAGACACTGGTAGAAAGGAATTTATGTTCTGTTGAAGACCCATAGAAATAAAGAGTATATGTGTTATTAGTTAAATTGACCATCTCCCTTCTCTAACCCAAGATAGCTCGCAGTTCTTGTGAACAGTAAAAATCGTGAGGAGATTGGATTGATAAGAGGGAGAGTGTCTGAGTTCAGCAGATACAAAGGAATGGGTCGTTTCAAACATGTATATAAGACAGAATATTGATCTCCCAGGAAGGACAGATTATTTTAAACTCGGGCAGTAGGATATGACTGTCTTCATGATAGTTTCTTAAATCACTTTTCACTTTGATAGTTGCATGCCCATGTATGCCTGTATATATTCCATTTACTTTATGTGTATGAATGTTTTGCCTGTATGTATGCAAGTACACCCACCGCATGTGTGCAGTGGTAGAAGAAGGCATCAGATCCCCTGGACTGGAATTAACAAATGGTTGTTGGCCACTATGTGGATGCTGGGAACCGAACCTGGGTCCTTTGCAAGTGCAGTCAGTACTCTTAACCACTAAGCCATCTCTTCAGCCTCTTTTTTTTTTGAGACAGGGTTAGCCTCAATATTCTAAAGTGAAGTTTTAACTTATTTTTACCCTGTTTTCCCCTAATCTTTTCTTATTTGTGTCATCTTTTTAGATTGTACATTCAGAGAAAGTGCTCAGTATACTTAAGCAAAGGGAACTTTATGCCTGATTTAAAAGATGTAATGGTATAAATTTTAATATATTTAAATTTTAACATACTTAAAAATTTTTTTTAAGTTCCTAGCAGTTGCTGCCAAGTAACTATTTCAGTTTGATCTAATGTCCATATTTTTTTTAAATGATCTAAAGTCTGATCATCGGACATCATGGAGTCTGGCAAGATGGCTTCTCCCAAGAGCATGCCGAAAGATGCACAGATGATGGCACAAATCCTGAAGGATATGGGGATTACAGAATATGAGCCAAGAGTTATAAATCAGATGTTGGAGTTTGCCTTCCGATATGTGACTACAATTCTAGATGATGCTAAAATTTATTCAAGCCATGCTAAGAAAGCCACTGTTGATGCAGATGATGTGCGATTGGCGATCCAGTGTCGTGCTGATCAGTCTTTCACTTCTCCTCCTCCAAGAGATTTTTTATTAGATATTGCAAGGCAAAGAAATCAAACCCCTTTGCCATTGATCAAACCCTATTCAGGTCCTAGATTGCCACCTGATAGATATTGCTTAACAGCTCCGAACTATAGGCTCAAGTCTTTACAAAAAAAGGCATCTACTTCTGCAGGAAGAATAACAGTTCCACGGTTAAGTGTTGGCTCAGTGACTAGCAGACCAAGTACTCCCACACTAGGCACACCAACTCCACAAGCCATGTCTGTTTCAACTAAAGTAGGGACTCCAATGTCTCTCACAGGGCAGAGGTTTACAGTACAGATGCCTGCCTCTCAGTCCCCTGCTGTAAAAGCGTCCATTCCTGCAACGTCAGCAGTTCAGAATGTTCTCATTAATCCATCATTGATTGGGTCCAAAAACATTCTTATTACTACTAATATGGTTTCACAAAATACAGCCAATGAATCAGCAAATGCATTGAAAAGAAAACGTGAAGATGATGATGATGATGATGACGATGATGATGATGACTATGATAATTTGTAATCTAGCCTTGATGCATGTAACATGTATACTTGGTCTTGAATCCATGTACTGAAACAAGCATGCTGGATGTTTTCAAACTGTATTTTAGGAAACAGTACTTAATAAGTTTAGTTATGCTTTTCAATTGAAATGTTCAGTTTTCTTTAATAGAACTAGTAATGGTTTTTCAACAACCTTTATGCATAAAAAATAAAATTGTCATTTATTAGTTTGATTCTTGGTACTTTGGCAGTATGTTTTCAAAAGGAAATTCCCCCTCAACTTGAAGTTGTTACTGGCTTCACTATTAAATCTAATTTGTCACTTCAGTGTCTTCAGATGTTTAGTTTAGATCATAGTCTCTTATATGTAAGTCATTTTTAAGAGTGTGTTTTCTCGGATTTCTGAAGTATCACTGTGATTCCTGTTTGTGTTTGTAACCAAACCCAGGTCCTCTGCAAGAATAGTCACTGCTCTTAGCTACTGAACCATCTCTCCAACCTCTGGTATATAATACTAACATGAGTAGCCAGTCGTGGTGGCACACGCCTGTAGTCCCAGTGCTTGGGAGGCAGAAGCAGTTGGATGTCTGTGAGTTCCAGGCCAGCTGGGGCTATAGGGAGACCCTGTTTCAAAGATACATATATTAATATGAGTAGAATTGAGAGGAACAATTAACACCAAGGACAAGCTCAGCCTTTCCATTTGTTTATTTTGAGCAGGGTCTCTATAGCTCCAGCTGGCCTGGAACTTACTATGTAGAACAGATAGATCAGGTGTCCACCTGTCTGCATCCTGGTTGCTTGACTAAAGGTATGAGCCACCACACCCAACCCCATTTTTTTTAATGCAAGGTCTTGTGCATCTTAGGCTGACCTGGAACTCAGTATGTGTCCAAGGATGGCCTTGAGCCTCTAATTCTCCTGCCTCTACTTCCTTAGTGCTGGAATTATAGGTGTGCACCCCCCAAGCCTGGTTTATGTGATGCTGGGGCTCATACTCAGGGCTTTGTGCATGCTATGGAAACACTCTACCAACTGGGCTAACTCTTTCAGCTCCCTTTTGATACTAATTTTGTTAGAAAAGGATGAGGAGGGGCTCAAACTCAGGGCTTTGTGCATGCTATGGAAGCATTCTACCAACTGGGCTAACTCTTTCAGCTCTCTTTTGATACTAATTTTGTTAGAAAAGGATGAAGAGGGGAGAGAATATCATGACTTAGGCCTTTTATTTACATATCTTTGGTAGGGTGCCTTTTGGGGAAAGTGTATGTTTCCCAGGCTTACCTGGAATGTATTATCTCTCAGACTGTCCTCAAACTTACTCCTTTTTGTCTCCATCTGTTAAGTGCTGAGTAAGAGGTGTGTACCAGCTAGCCCAGCTCATTTATTCACCTAGCTCTTAGACGCTTTCCTTCAGTCCTCTCTATGCCACTCTCCCACACACACTGGGGATTCTGTGCATCCTTATCAGTATGTGCTGTTCTCTTCTAGTCAGTTCCTCCTGCCTTATAAACAACTTGAAATCCCAACTCAAATGCCACATCTTTGGTTCTGACTTCTCAGAACTATGTAGAATAAATTGCTCTTTCTACATAATAAAAGGCCAAGTATTTTCAAAGGGTTTTCACAGCTTCTTATACTAATTGCATTATTGTTGTAAACTTCTTGTTGAATTGTAAATACAGTAGTTAAAGCTGAAAAATGCTTTCATGGTATTCGCAGCAACAAAATATCTACCAGCGCGATTAAGGAACAGCTTCCATATGATTATGCATATTCTAAGATGGCATTTAAAGAAAACGTGAACATAGAATGTCTGTCAAAATAAACATTGCCATCTGTCTCTGGACCCACAATTGATTGGGGTTTTTTTTTGCCTACGAGTTATCTTTACCTGCACTTTATTTATTTATTTATTTTGGTCTTTATAAGACAGGGTCTCCCTGCAGCCCCAGCTGGCCTGGAACTCACTATATAGACTAGGCTGGGCTCAAACACAGAGATCCGCTTGCCTCTGCCTCCTGAATGCTGGGATTAAAGATATGCACCACCACCAACGCCTGGCTTTTACCTGTAATTTGTTTGTTTGTTTAATTTACTTATTTTCAGAGCTGAGGACCAAACCTTAGCATTTGAGACTGTTAACTAATACAGAATCACCTGTAGCTTGTCTTAGATTTTGTAGTACTATAAAACAGTAATACGGTACAGTTGTCCCTTCTTATCTGAGGTTCTACATCCAAGGATTCAACCAACAGTGCATAACAGTATTTTAAAAAGCCAAGTACAATGGCACACTGTAGTCCCACCGCTACTTGGAAACTGAGGCCCAAGGACCACTTAAGTGCAAGACTTCAAGGCCACATACTCAAAAAAGATCTGGCTGGGTGTGGTGACACGTTCCTTTATGCAGCACTCAGGAGGCAGAGGCAGGAGGATCTCTGAGCTCAAGGGCACCCTGGTCTACAATAGTGAGTTCCTAGACAGTCAGGGCTGTGTAGTGAGACTCTGTCTCAAAAAAAAAAAAAAAAAAATTGTTACCTGTCCTGAAGATGTACAGACATTTTTGTTCTTTTCCTAAACAACGGTGTAACAGTGATTTACATAGCATTTACATTATATTAATTATTGCACTAACATGGAGATGATTTAAAGTACGCAGAAAGTTATGTGCAAATACCTCATCTTATAAAAGGGATCCAAGCATCTGGGACAATCTATAAGTATAGAGGTAGTTGAATTGTAAAAATAGCATATGAAGAAATATTATGAAATCTGTTTTTACCTTTTGTTCTAGTTTTTATACTTTTGTGTCAACAACTTTGAGTTCTTTTTTTTTTAAGACACGGTCTCATTATGTTGCCATGACTGGCCTGGAACTTGCTGGGATCCACCTGCCTCTTGAGTGCTGGGATTAAAGGCATGCACCAAATTACTATTTTTTAAAAAATTTATTTACTTTATATGTGTATTTTGTTTGCTCGTGTGTAGATGTACCATGTTTGTGCAATGCTCTTGGAGGCCAGAAGCCGCCAGAGTCCCTGGAACTGGAGTTATAGATGGTGGTTAGCCTCCATCTAGATGCTGGGAATCAAACCCGGGTCCTCTGCAAGAGCAGCCACTGCTCTTAACCACTGAGCCATCTTTCCAGCCCCATGATCTTTAACTTTTGATCCTTCTGCCTCCTTTTCCCAAGTCCTGGTATTTCAGGTATGCACCACTTCACCTTCGTATTATGCAGCGCTAGGAATTGAACCTGAGGCTTTGTGCAGGTT